GTGGAAGGTGCAGGACAGTGGGGGTAAATTCTAGGTAGGGGAGTCAGTCTATGTGAACGCCTAGAGGAATAAACAGTGGGAGGGACACCACAGCGGAGATGGTCCAAAGGGAGACAAGTATAGGGAGGTCTCGGGAAGAGAGGGCAGATCAGGAAGGGCCTTTCATGCTAGGAATTTGAACTTCAATGGTTTGTTAAGTAGGTATTCTGCTCTAGGCACTGGGCTAAGTGCTTATATGTCTTAGCCCACTTAATCCTCATAGTAACCCCATGAAAGGGGCACTATTACTATGATCATTCCCATTTTATAAATGAGAAAAAATGCAAATATAGACGGTTAGAAATAATCAAAGTAAAATAAAACTCAAAGTGGCTAAAACCACACAGCAATATATTATAGATTAAAAAAACCAAACAAACAAACCACACATCTAATTAGAAACTTTAAACACTGTAAAAGGGAAAATTACACTTGATAGGAATAATCAATCCTGAAACTGACTGAAATCACAGTGATATAAATTATATGTTGTAAATTTTACAAATAACTAAAATTTGAGGGAAGAATAAAGTATTCTTGCCAAAATTTACATCTGGAAAAAGCTGACCTAGAAAAACTGGACTCAAATAAAACACAATGGAACATTCACAGCGGGAGAAGGAAGCTTGGTAAAACTTAGCTACAAAAGCTGATACATCACATTTTTGCTACAGAATTCAGAAGGAAGAGAGTTTATTCCAATGCAAATAATTTCGGTAAAGTACAAAAATAGAAAAAAAGTTGAAAAATTTAGAAACAATATGTGCTTTCCAGAACACTGAATATGGAGTAAAATTGGCTTAGTGGGGTTCACTTTGGAAGAATGAAAACGTATAAATATATAATATTTAGTCATTCATTCCAGATAATGTTAGTATTTTTGGGAAATACATTTGAAACTATGATTATGGATTCATTGGGGGTACAGATCATGGAATAAAAATGCTCCTTATCGGCTGCTGTGGACTAAGAGGATGGCGGGGAGGGCCCCTGTGGAGCTGGAGAGGGACGGGGCAGCGTCCGGTAGAAGGTCCTTTGAGGAGAAGACTCATGGGAGGCAAGGGATTTGGGCATTTAGGATGTGGCAGGATTTCTTGAAAGACCGTATTTGGGCCGGGCGCGGTGGCTCAAGCCTGTAATCCCAGCACTTTGGGAGGCCGAGACGGGCGGATCACGAGGTCAGGAGATCGAGACCATCCTGGCTAACACAGTGAAACCCCGTCTCTACTAAAAAATACAAAAAAACTAGCTGGGCGAGGTGGCGGCCGCCTGTAGTCCCAGCTACTCGGGAGGCTGAGGCAGGAGAATGGCGTGAACCCGGGAGGCGGAGCTTGCAGTGAGCTGAGATCCGGCCACGGCACTCCAACCTGGGCGACAGAGCGAGACTCCGCCTCAAAAAAAAAAAAAAAAAAAAAAAAAAGAGAAGTGACAGCTGTGAGGAATAGGCCTCTTACAAATTTTTCATGTTGGGAAGAAACATTAGCTCCTCAGGGGGTGCATGAGGTGTCTGGAGGAGGCTGTCTGCTCCATGAGGTCAGTGCAGAACCGGGGGCATGCCGCAGTAGCAATGCTGTGTGGGTTACTGTGTGTTTGTGGACAAAGGGCCATTCAGTTTCTTAATATAGTCATATGTCATCTTTACCATTAAGCCCTCGTTTCTCTTTCATATTTCATCCACAAAACAGCACTTGAAAGTCTCCTCTGGATTTTGCAACGAATGCTGAAGTTTATAGGCTGGACACTTAGTATATTACTATTAGCCCAAATATAAAAATGGAAAAAATAGCAAGCCTGCACAACTTGTTTCTATTAGCACTTACACATTACAGGCATACCTCAGAGATATTTCAGCCTTGGCTCCAGATCACCACAATAAAACAAATACTACAACAGATGAGCCACACACATTTTTTTATTTTCCAGTATATGTAAAAGTTATGCTCGCACTATACGTAGTATGTTAAATGTGTAATAGCATTATGTTTAAAACATGTACATTCCGTCATTAAAAATACTTTATTGCTAAAAAGGCTAATGATCATTTGAGCTTTCAGCAATTCATGATCTTTTTGTTGGTGGAGGGCCTTGCCTTGATGACAGCTGTCTGATCAGGGCGGTGGGCACTGAGGGTTGGGATGGCTGTGACAATTTCTTAAAATAAAACAACAGTGGAGTTTGCTTCATTGATTGACTCTTCCTTTCATGAAAGATTTCCCTGTAGCATGAAATGCTGTTTAATAACATTTTACTCACAGTATAACTCATTTCTTTCTTTCTTTTTTTTTTTTTTTTTTGAGATGGAAGCTCGCTGTGTCCACCAGGCTGGAGTGCAGTGATGCAGTCTTGGCTCACTGCAACCTCTGCCTCGTGGGTTCAAGTGATCCTCCTGCCTCAGCCTCCCAAGTAGCTGGGACTATAGGCATGCGCCACACACCTGGCTAATATTTGTGTATTTTTAGTGGAGAGGGGGTTTCACCATGTTGGACAGATTGGTCTCGAACTCCTGACTTCAGGTGATCTGTCTGCCTCGGCCTCCCAAAGTGCTGGGATGACAGGCATGAGCCACTTCACCCAACTGAACTCATTTCAAATTAGGAGGAGTCAGCCCTCTCAAACCCTGCTGTTGCTTTATCAACTACGTTTATGTAATATTCTAAATCCTTTGTCATTTCAACAATGTTCACCGCATCTGCAACGAGAGTAGATTCCATCTCAAGAAACCACTTTTTTGCTCATTTGTAAGAAGCAACTCCTCATCCATTCAAGTGCGATCATGAGATTGCAGCAATTCAGTTACATCTTCAGGCACCACTTCTCATTCTCTTGCTGTCACATCTGCATGGCTTCCTTCACTGAAGTCTTGAACTCCTCAGAGTCATCCAAGAGGGTTGCAATTCACTTTCCAAACTCCTGTTAATGTTGATATTTTGATCTCCTCCCACGGATCCTGAATGTTCTTAATGGCATCTGGAATGCTGAATCCTTTCCAGAAGGTTCTCTGTTTACTTTGCCCGGCTCCCTCAGAGGAATCACTATCTATGGCAGCTATGGCTTTATGAAATGTTTTTTTTTTCTTCCTTTCTTTTTCTTCTTTTTTCTCCCCTCCCCCAGCCTGAAATGTATTTCTTAAATAGTTAGATTTGAAAGTCACAATGACACCTTGATCCATGGGCTTCGGCCGGATGTCGTGTTAGCAGGCATGAGAACAACGCTAATCTCTTTGCGCATCTCCAGCAGAGCTCTTGGGTAACCTGGTATATTGTCAATCAGTGGTAATATTTTGAAAGGAATCTTTTTTTTTTTCTTTTTCAAAGCAGTAGGTCTCAACAATGGGCTTAAAATATACAGTAAACCATGCCACAAACAGATGTGCTGCCAGCGGTGCTTTGTTCTTCCATTTATAGAGCTCAAGCAGAGCAGTTTAGCATGAGTCTTCAGAGTCCTAGGATTTTTGGGCCGGGCGCGGTGGCTCATGCTTGTAATCCCAGCACTTTGGGAGGCCAAGGCGGGCAGATCACGAGGTCAGGAGATCGAGACCATACTGGTTAACACAGTGAAACCCTGTCTCTACTAAAAGAATATAAAAAGTTATCTGGGCATGGTGGCGGGCACCTGTAGTCCCAGCTACTCGGGAGGCTGAGGCAGGAGAATGGTGTGAACCCAGGAGGCAGAGCTTGCAGTGAGCCGAGATGGCGCCACTGCACTCCAGCCTGGGCGACAGAGCGAGACTCCGTCTCAAAAAAAACAAAACAAAACCAAAAACAAAACAGTTCTAGGATTTTTGAAACAATTAATGAGCATTGGCTTTAACTGAAAGTCACCAGCTGTATTAGCTCTTAAGAGGGTCAGCCTGTCCTTTGAAGCTTTGAAGCTAGGCATTCATTTCTCTTTTCTAGCTAGGAAAGTCCTAGATAGCATTTTCTTCCAATAGAAGGCTGTTTGAACTACACTGAAGATCTGTTTAGTGTGGCCACCTTTGTCAATGATTTTAGCTACATCTTCTGGATAACTTGCTTCCACATCAGCAACTTGCTGGTTCACTTTCCACTTGTAGGTTTTGGAGCTGGCTTCTTTCCTTAAACCTGGTGAACCAACCTCTGCCAGCTTCCTGCAGCTTCCTCACCTCTCTCAGCCTTCACAGAATTGAAGAGAGTTAGGGCCTTGCTCTGAGTCATGCTTTGGTTTAAAGTTGTGGCTGGTTTGATCTTCTATCCAGGCCACTAAAACTGTCTCCACATCAGCAATAAGGTTGTTTTGCTTTCTTATCATTTGTGTGTGTGCAGTGGAGTAGAATTTTTAATTTTCTTCAAGATCTTTTTCTTTGAATTCACAGCTTGGCTAACTGGTGCAAGAGGCCTAGCTTTCCGCCTGTCTTAGCTTTTGACATGCCTTCCTCACTAAGCTGAATTTCTACAAGTATGACCCTTTCTTTCACTTGAACACATAGAGGCTGTTGTAGAGTTATTAATTATTGTGTCTCAAGGAATAGGGAGGCTGGAGAACAGGGAGAGAGACAAGGAAATGGCCAGTGAGTAGAGCAGTTAGAACACACACAACCTTCACTAAGTTCACAGTCTCACATGGGCACGATTCATGGTGCCCCCAAAACACTTAACAACAGTAACATCAAAGGCCACCGATCACAGATCACCATAGCATATATAAGAAATCATAAAAAAAGCTTGAAATATCAAGCTATTATCAAGGAGACAAGGAGTGAGTACATGCTATTGGAAACATGGAAATATCAAGCTATTATCAAGGAGACAAGGAGTGAGTACATGCTATTGGAAACATGGAAATATCAAGCTGTTATCAAGGAGACAAGGAGTGAGTACATGCTATTGGAAACATGGCACTGTTAGACTTTCTAGACACAGGGTTGCCCAAAACCTTCAATTTGTAAAAAAAAAAAAAAAGACAGTGATCTGTGAAGTGCAATAAAGCAAAGCACAATAAAATAACTTTATATATATATCTATTTCAGTTTTATATTCTGAATACAAAGGCTGTTGATTAAGAATGTTGAGCTACCCAAGTATAATGTATAATAAACTATACAGAAATAGGAAACACTTCTTTGAATAAGCTACATACATAAAATATGGTACCTTTAAGATATATTAATTAATTTAAGAAATTTGCTTGGATGCCTACCGAATAAGGCACTGTGCTAGGAGCTATGAATGCAGTTGAATAAGGCACAACCCTGCTCTTAAGGAGCTTACAAACTAGCAGAATTTGTAAGACACTGTGTAAGATGTGAGCTAGAAGTGATTTCTAATGTACAGAGCAGCGAATACTTTTTGCATTGAGCGTTAGTTTAGTTGTCTTTGCAAAGGCTTCTTTCTTTTCGTAATATGCGGCCTCGTTCACAAACACGGGGTACACGGTACAGTCTCCGCCCAATGGCATCGTCTTCCCATCGAGAGTTAAAAACATGGGATCCCCAGGATGCAGTGGTTTCCAGTCTTGATCCTCTCAGGAAACAATCAAAATACACGTTACATTTGGTTTTTCTCCTCTAAAAATTTATGTCAGACTCTAGACAACTAACACATTACAGTATTCTGTTGTTTTAAAAGAGATACTTGAGCGAGGCATCGAGATGCAGGCAAGTGATCTGACTGTGCTGAAATTGGGTCATGAATTTTGGCAGTAGTTTGAAGAGTTCCCCTTTGAATTTGTATAACTGACACATGTAATTAACATTTGCTTCAGCCAGGTGCAGTGGCTCTCGCCTGTAATCCCAGCACTTGGGGAGGCCGATGATGTGGGCGGATCGCTTGAGCCTAGGAGTTCAAGACCAGCCTGGGCAACATAGAGATCCTAGCTCTAGAAAAAATACAAAAAATTAACTGTGTGTGGTGGTGCATGCCTGTAGTCCCAGACACTCAGGAGGCTGAGGTGGGAGGAATGCTCAAGCCCCCAGAGGGCGAGGCTGCAGTGAGCTGTGTTCACACCACTGCACTCCAGCCTGGGCGACAGAGCGAGACCCTGCGTCTGAAAAAAATAAAAAGTAGTTTGCTTCAATACCAGGGTTACCTTGAATGTAGCCAAAGAGATTTATAATATTAAAAGGCAAAACGAAATGCATGTCTACCTAAGTGCATAGTCTGCCTGTTGCCAGCTCAAGTTAAATTCTGTTCAGCAAAATTTAGGAAATATCCATTAAGAGTCTTCTGTGTGCAAGATGTTCTACTGTTGGGAAATATAAAGATGAGCCATGTCGTACCTGCATGCAAGGAGATTCTATTCTGATAGGGATTGGTGAGAGAAGGTGGTGCTGGGCTGGGGAGAGTCTGAGACAAGGTGGGTGTATTCCAAATGTGTCCTGCATTAGAGTCACGTCTGAGTCCCCTGAACGGTCCTGCACCAGGCATTTGGACCTCTGCGCCCTCAAGCACCGTGGCTGTCACACCACAGGAACCCCAGAACAGTTCTTCTCAAACTTTGAGGTGCTTGCACATCATCTGGGGATTGTGTTAAGATGAAGATTCTGATTCTATAGGTCGGGGGTGGGGGGCCTGGGATTCTGCATTTCCAACATTTCCCAGCAGCATCCGCATCACCCAGGAGCTTGTTAGAAAGGCAGGATTTCGTTAGGCGCAGCAGACCTGCCCAATCGAAATCTTCAGGTTAACAGGTCCCCGACATTCACGTGTACAACGTTAACGTTCGAGAAGTGCCGCATCACGGCAGTTTTCTCTGCCCTGGTGGCACATTATCATCGCCTGGGATGTTAAATACGTATATACAGGGAGAGGGGCCGGCCCATTTCAGATGAATCAACTCAGAATCTCTGAGGAGGGCCTAGGCAGCATTCTTTTTAAATTTTATTTTAAAATTTACATACAGTGAAATTCACTCATTCTTGTGTACAGATCTGTGAGTCTGGACATGCAGAGCATGGAGTCATACAACCTGCAACCATGCCATCCGGATACGGACTTCTTTCACCCGTCTCCTCGAATCCGTCATGCTACCCATTCATAGTTCACTGTTTTCTGTGTTTATTGTATTGAGGCCCCAGATGATTTACAGAGTGGCTCGGCTGAGAACTGTTTCTCTGAACTGGTGGTTTTCAGGCAGAGACTTGCCCCAGAGTCACTAACGGAACTTCTTCAACACACGTCTGGCTAGCCCCACCTGCGGAGATCCTGATGTCGTGCAGTGCCACCCAGACCTGAGCCACATGAAAATCATCTGGTGAACTCAACTGATTCCCTGTCTACACCCTGATGAATTAGATCAGAGCCTCTGGGAATAGGACTCAGGAATCAGCATTTTTTTTTTTTTTTCAGACGTAGTCTTAACTCTGTCCAGGCTGGAGTGCAGTGGCACAATCTTGGCTCACTGCAACCTTCGCCTTCGAGTTCAAGCAATTCTCCTGCCTCAGGCTCCCGAGTAGCTGGGACTACAGGCGCCTGCCACCACGCCCAGTTTATTTTTATATTTTTAGTAGAGATGGGATGTCACCGTGTTAGCCAGGATGGTCTCGATCTCCTGACCTCATGATCTGCCCACCTTGGCCTCCCAAAGCGCTGGGATTACAGGCACGAGCCACTGCTCCTGGCCAGGAATCAGCATTTTAAAAAAGCTCCCCAGGTAATTGTCATGTGGCTCGAGTTTGAGAAGTGCTACGTTAGCAGTTTGTGGTGGGTTCTAGGCATTGGGAGGGGGTCCCCTACGTGATTCCGATGAGCATCCCTTAGTAAGAACTATCACTCTTAGGACAAAATCTAGACTCATAACCGGGTCTCGGGCTGTGTGTTTTCTCCAGGCTCTACCGTCCTCTGCTCACTCCTTCTCTCCAGGGACATGGGTTTTCTTGCTGTTCCTGAAATGCTCCAAGTTTGTTCCAGCCTCAGGCCCTTTCACTAGCCTTCCACATGGCTGGCTTCTCATCTTGTAGGCTCCAACTTCAGTGCCACCATCTCTGAGATGGCACTTTGTGACCACTCCGTCTAACTGGAACCCTTTGTTATACCCTCTGCTGTATTAATCTTTCATATTATTTCTTTTATAGCACTTATTACAGTTTGAAATGATTTGGTTTACACATTGTTTACTTATTCACGGTCAGTTCTCCTCACCCATTGGAATGGAAGCTGCATGAGGAACCTTCCCTATCTTGAATCTCAGGGCGCAGAATGAGCTTAGCTGTCATTCAAAAATATTTGTTGGAAGAATTAAGCAATCAATTCCTCCTGTAGAATACCGAGCCATTCCATATTGTCTGTCAAATCAAAACCATCCTTCCTAACTTTCAAGACCTACCACTAGCCCAGTCTGCTACTGATCTCATTCATCTCACTTCTCCACCTGCCAGGGATTATTTTTGTACTCCTCAAGAGTATCCTAAAACCTGAAAAATCCTGTTTTAGCCTGCCATGACATCATCACCCTGGCCTCTGTTTCTTGTACTTGATATTTTTGTCACCAATAGTGCTTTCTTCCTTTCTCTCCCCCAGTCTTTACCTTTCCTTTAAAACATTGCCTAAGGCCAGGTGTGGCCTGTAATCCCAGCACTTTGGGAGGCTGAGGCGGGAGGATCACGAGGTCAGGAGTTCGAGACCATCCTGGCCAAAATGGTGAAACCCCGTCTCTACTAAAAATACAAAACTTAGCCGGACGTGGGCGGCGTGTGCATGTAGTCCCAGCTACTCAGGAGGATGAAGCAGGAGAATCACTTGAACCCAGGAGGCGGAGCTTTCAGTGAGCCGAGATGGCACTAATGCACTCCAGCCTGGGTGACAGAGTGAGATTCCGTCTCAAAAAACAAACAAAAACAAACACTGCCTAAGGCTCCTTCAGGTTTCCACCTGGGTCCCATTAAGCCACAAAGCAGGATTTGCTTCACTCGTCTGTATTACTGGGCAGAGGCCACTCCATTCAGTTGCAAGTCTGGATGACTATTGGAGTCACTAAACAGGGATAGGAACTGGATCAATCAGTGCTTTTCAACCCTGATTATCCAAGCCAGAAAGATCAGAGTGTCTCAAAGTGGAGTCCTGCCATTGCTATTATTATGTTTTTTAAACGCTCTCTACGTAAAGGTTAGTGAGGGTTGAAAGCCCCAGACTGGATAATCCACCAGGTTCTCCTCCATCTCTGAGGTCTGGGAGTGTGCAGGGCACTCGCACTGGGGAATGGATTCTTCGGCTTTGGAAATCTGTTCTTCTCTCCTTTTCCCTTTGACTTTTCTGGATTTAAACCTCCTACATTCTCTCAAGAGCCTTTTTTTTTTTCCCCCTTCCTCACTATGTCATTATTGATAAAACTAGGCAAGGAGTAGATTCTGGGGTTCTGAGGAGAGTCGGGGAATGGTGGCAGAAGAAAGAGGTTACAGTTGTTTAACTTATTCTGTCACAGGGAGGTAGCAAGCAATGTGGCCAACTGCAAAGAGCACTAACTCGGGATCTGTCCTTCATAGCTACATGGCTATGGGAAGGATCTAACTTCCGGCCCTGTATTTCCTTATATTAACATAGACATCATAATTCCTACCCGTTGAATGTGGGTAGGAATTTCACTTTCTCTAAGCAGCCTTGTCCGAGCAATCCTCTTCCACCTCATTATTCTGTCATCGCACCTGGCTATCTTCATTTCTAGACTGCAACTCAGACTTTCGTGTACCTACACTGGAAATTCCATTGCGAGTGTAGACCGTACCTACACTGATGTGTCCACACAGCCAGCACAGGTTACACTTCATCAGTATTTATTGAACGACTCCGAACATCTTCCCTGCCTACGCTCAGTGTCTTTTGAGACATCAAATGGGTGAATGTGCGCGAAGTGCTGTGTGAGCTGTAAACTTCCGTTCAAAGGTACAGCATTGTCACTTTCAACACTTTAAAGAAAGAACAAATGTTACCTGCAGATTGGGATGGATGACAGCAGCAATTTCTCCATTTTCATCCCTGGGATAATCAACTTTCTCTATAATTTTGTAGACCTCAATGGCACAGGGAGGAAATTCTTTTCCTATGACAAAAACAATATGTATCAATGGCGACTAAAAAAAATCTCTGGGCCGGCCGCGGTGGCTCACGCCTGTAATCCCAGCACCTTTGGCTACAGGTGGGTGGATCACCTGAGGTCGGGAGTTCGAGACCAGCCTGACCCGACATGGGGAAACCTCGTCTTACTAAAAAATACCTGGGGTTGGATCATTCCTAGCACTCGGGAGGCTGAGGCAAGGAGAATCTCTTGAACCTGGAGGTGGAGGTTGCAGTGAGCCATTGCACTCCCAACCTGGGCCAACAAGAGCGAAAACTCTGTCTCAAAAAAAAAAAAAAAAAAATTCTGGAAAAAGGGAAGTTGGAATGTAAGGAAGAAAACAATAATAACCAACAACAACCAGAGACAAACAATGAAGACAGCGATTGGGGGAACAGATTAACGTTCTGTTAAGGATGTTCATAACATGGTACCAGGCCAAAGATGTCCTTGAAATGTTCATGTCAGCACCGCTGGTCCACAACAGCCGAAGACAGAGGCAGAAAACGGAACTAAAGAAGCCAGGCTGGGGGAGCAAAAAGAATCTGGGTCTGGGGTCAGGAGACCTTAGCTCTAATCCCCCTGGCTATGTGCCTTGAACAAGATGCTTAACTTCTTGAGGCTCCCTTTCTTGACCTATCAAGAGAAGGTCCTTGGATTTAGTTTATCGTTGGAGTGACCCTTCAGCTAGATGTTTTATGACTGCATAATTCAGGGAGAGAAATTCCCAGCAGCTTTAGGTGCGTTCAGTCTATCATTGCTCTTTTTCTTTCTTTTCTTTTCCTTTTTTTTTTTTTTTTTTGAGATTGAGTCTGCTTGTCTGCCCACGCTAGAGTGGCATGGCACGATGTCTGCTCAGCTGCAACCTCCCACCATCCCGGTTCAGCGATTCTCGCCTGCCTACAGCCCCCTGAGTGCTGGACTACAGGCGCCGCCACCACAACCTGGCTAATTTTGTATTTTTAGTTAGAGAATGGGGTTTCACGCATGGTTGTGCCACAAGGATGGGTCTTGATTTCTTGACCTTGTGATCTGCCTGCCTCAGCCTCCCAAAGTGGTGGGATTACAGGCGTGAGCCACCGCGCCTGGCCTCTTTTTCTTAACTAAGTACATTAAACACTTGGACAGCTCCTGAGTAATGATATCTTGCGATGCAGGCAGCCTGCCAGTGGTGGACACCAACTTCCAAAGATGCAGCAACATCAAACAACCCAATTCCTAGAAACTTGGAAAAGGAGTAGTTTACATACATACCAGGCTGTCTCTGAGCACACAGGGTGAACTTTTGGTCCAATGTAGGGCCCATAGAGTGTTATGGTCACAACTCAAAGGAAAGCCTTCCTTTGCCTTTAGAGCAGAGTTAGAACGGAGATACCCAGTGATCACTTCTGTATCAGTTAGCTTCTGCTGCATAACATGCTACCCCAGAATTTAGTGGCTTCAAACAACCACCTCTTAATTTAGTTCATGATTCTGTGGGTTGGTTGGAAAGTTTCTTCCGTCTACACTGGCTTTGTGGATTTTTGATTATTTTGCTTCTGCCTTTGTGGTAAGCTGACAGCTCACCTGGAGGCTGGATCCTATGGGATGGCCTCACTCTTATGTCTGTCAGCTGGAGTTGTGTGACTGTCTGTTAGGGTGCCTGAGTTTTCCACCTCAAAGGCTTTCACTATCCAGCAGGCCACTGTGGGCTGTGGCACATAATGGTACATGTACAGGGTTTCCAAGAGCAGGAAGAAAGCAAGCTCCAACGTGCAAGTGCTTTTCAAGCCTCTTCTATGGCACAAAACAAATCATGTGGGCAAGCCAGCTATTCCAGGAGTGGAAAAATAGACTCTCTCTCTGAACAGAAGGCTATGAAACATCACACTGTCAGGATGTGGATGCAGGAAAGGGAAGAATTAAAACCTACCACACCTTCCAAGATGAAGATGGGAACTTACCAGATCTCATTTCTTTAAGCCAGAAAGTTCGATAGGAAGAAAGTAAAAACTGATAGAACACAAAGGAGTATGTTTTTGCTACTTACAGCTGGAAGCAGTCTTGAAAGCCTAACTTCCATCTGTGTTTGAGTATTCTCCGTATCATTCTGGCCATCTTACAGACACAGAAGTAAGATGACTTCTTACAGCCTCACAAAGTGTGGCCCGTTTCATTGCTGCTCAGCTTTGTTAGTAAGAAATTTCTGTCTCGCCGGGCGCAGTGGCGCAGGCCTGTAACCCCAATGCTTTGGGAAGCCGAGGCAGGCAGATTGCTTGAGCTCAGGAGCTTGAGACCAGCCTGGGCAACATGGCAAAACCCCATCTCTACAAAAACCACAAAAACTAGCTGGGTGTGGTGGCGCACGCCTGTAGTCCCAGCAACTCAGGAGGCTGGGTGGGAGGACTGCTTGAGCCCAGGGGCTTGAGGCTCCAGTGAGCCCTGATCGCGACCACTGCACTCCAGTCTGATGCACAGAGTGAGACCCTTGCTCAAAAAAAAAAAAAAAAAAAAAAAAAAAATTCTGGTCTCTAGAGTAACTTTATCTCATTGATTCCCTTCTGCCCTCTGGGTCACAGAAAATATGTCGAATTTATTTCAATGTAGGACTTTCTTTCTTTTCTTTCCTTTTTTTTTTTTTTTTTTTTTTTTTGAGACAGTCTCACTTTGTCACCAAGGCTGGAGTGCAGTGGTGTGATCGCGGCTCACTGCACCCTCTGGCCTCCTGGGTTCAAGCGATTTCTCATTGCCTCAGCCTTCAGAGTAGCTGGGAATTATAGGTGCACGCCACCACATCCAGAGCTAATTTTTCACTTTTTAGTAGAGACGAGGTTTCCCCATGTTGCCCAGACTGGTCTCGAGATTCCTGACCTCAAGTGACCACCCGCCTTGGCCTCCCAAAGTGCAGAGATTACAGGGCATGAGCCACCGCGCCTGGCAGGAATTATCTCAATATGGTTTTCAAGCTCTTCGACATTCTCAATTGGCTCTCCTTGGCTAAGTTCCTCTTTATAGATGTGTTCTCCTGGATTATGGATTCAGAATTTTATTTGACGGTTGTCACAAGTGTTGTTTATGGCAAAGGCAGAAAAAAAGACCATTACCTCCCTTATCTCTGGGATTTTTTTTTTAAACATAAGAACAAAACTTTGTCCCTGATGTTGTTAACCTTAAATATTTAGTTTAAAAACAATTGTTAAAGATTGTCAGGACTTCTTGGTCTGCCTTCTCACCAGGATGTTTTCCTGCTACTTTCCTGCGACCTTGTCACTTAGGTAAGCATGTCACATATGTCTTTATCCAAGTCACTAACTACAATTCTGAGTAGCACGGAGTCAAGAATGAAGCCCTTCTACACACTTCTTGAGACTTTTCACGTGGCGGCAATGATTCATTTGTCAGCATTCTTTGGATACGAGTGTGCAGTTGAAAATCACCAAGCTGGATAGTCTAAATTAATCATGGTTTGACAATTTCTGAGTTGCAGAATCCTTTGCTTAAGTGAAATGTTACCAGAAGAGCTCATAAGCTAACAGAAGAGAGCTCTGATTGAAGCAGAGATAAGGGGTTAGGGTGTTCTAGGAACTGCTTTTCTCCACCCTTGTGATAGGATTCTGCGGACCATGATCTGAAAAACCATGTTTTCCACCCAGATTTGTGGCCTTCTATCTGAACGTATCACTTCTTAACATATTGTAGTCCTACACTTACTATTCAAAGGGTTTATCGTAAATATATTGTGATCTTTTCAAAACCAGTTCCATTAGACAGTATAGAACCTGACCTCAGACAAAGACAGTAAAAAGCAGACTTTCAGTTTTCATGATTTTGGACTCAAAGGATTCCAAGCACAAAAGGAATGTCTGTGATCACAGTAGGATGCACAATCTGAGGTTAAGGAATTTACTCCCTACAGACACCGAAGTGCACACCAGCTCTGTTTACTATAATTGCCCATTCCTCAACAACAATTTCAACTCAGTCTGTTGGAATAATTGTTTACATAGAATGCCTCTTTGATTTGAAGCACTTATTTTCCATTTTAAGTAAACTTAGTTTTTATAATTAATAGACTTTTTAGTGCAGTTTTAGATTTATCAAATAAATGAGCAGATAGTACATAGAGCTCCATATACCCACCTCGTCCACCAGTCCCCATTTAATTAATTTTTAATTACAGAAATAATACATAAATACATTATTCTTATTGAATATAATTAAGACAAAATTAGCCTGGGTTTTCCCTCCCCTCCCCGGTAACCACTGTTATCAGTTTGGTGTGTTTTCTTCTAGGACTTTTCCTGTGATATGTTAACATATATGTGTATCCTAGAAGGTGATGATGATTATTATTATTTTTATTTTTATTTTTATTTTTTTTGAGACGGAGTGTCGCTCTGTCGCCCAGGCTGGAGTGCAGTGGTGTGATCTCAGCTCACTGCAAGCTCCGCCTCCCAGGTTTACGCCATTCTCCTGCCTCAGCCTCCCGAGTAGCTAGGACTACAGGCGCCCGCCACCTCGCCCGGCTAGTTTTTTGTGTTTTTTAGTAGAGACGGGGTTATTATTATAATTTTAAAGCCAGTTGGTGTACTGAATGTCTTGGTCTGCAGTTTGCTTTCTGCTAATTACCCATGTGTTTAGAAGATTCTTCCATGTGAGTTTATTTAACTGTCCACCAACAGGTGGACATTCGTGCTGTTTCCATTCTTTTGCTGTTATCAATGATGCACGATAACAATCTTTGTAAACAACATGTTGCTTGTGCTTGTGTTAATCTTTGAGATGTGGAATTGCTGGGTAATAAGATTGGTGTGTTTTAAGAAGTGGATGCTGTAAAATTATCCTCTAAAATGTCTTTACCAACTTATATGTTCACTTATATGTTCACCAGCAGGTAATCAGAGTGTCCCCTTTTCCTACACATTTACCAACGCTTGATACTGGCAGACTTTAATATTTTCCCAACCTAATGGGGGAAATGATTTCCTATTTTAATTTGCATTTCTCTAATTACTAGTGATGTTGAACATCTTTTCATATGTTTACTGGGCGTTTGTATTTTCTCATCTTTCTTTTCTTTTTAAAATGGAGATTAACAGGAAATAAGGATTTAATGTGGAGTCTTTATCTGGCAGCTGCTTTTCTTGAATGTGTCTATTCTGGCCATTGAGGAATAGCTGAAGTGAATAAAAGTTTTTTTTTTTTTTTTTTTTGAGACGGAGTCTCGCTCTGTCACCCAGGCTGGAGTGCAGTGGCCGGATCTCAGCTCACTGCAAGCTCCGCCTCCCGGGTTCACGCCATTCTCCTGCCTCAGCCTCCCGAGTAGCTGGGACTACAGGCGCCTGCCACCTCGCCCGGCTAAGTTTTTGTATTTTTAGTAGAGACGGGGTTTCACTGTGTTAGCCAGGATGGTCTCGATCTCCTGACCTCGTGATCCGCCCGTCTTGGCCTCCCAAAGTGCTGGGATTACAGGCTTGAGCCACCGCGCCCGGCCGAATAAAAGTTTTAAAAAGCAGTTCATATCATTAGCATGGCAAATTTGACCCAGGCTCCAATTGTCATTGAAATGTTTGGTGGTTAAATTTGATGACGTTGCCTTCATTACTTACTTACCTTCATTGAAATGATGTATAAAATCGAGAGCATGTTTAATCATTTTTCTCATTTGATCCAAGATATCAGCTCTCAGAACCCCTTGAGGCTGAGGACCAACTTCTATACCTAGGTACAGAAGGAGAGATAGTAACATTTATATAAGTATTAAAATATATTCTAAAACTAAGCATTTTAATGTATCAAAATGTAGAATTATGTTATTAAAAATTATTAAAAAGGCAAACCATGTAGCATTATGGAAAATATTTGAGACATAATATTTGAGGCAAAACGTAAAGCTGAACATCTACATGTTCAAGTTAGATGCACAGTGAATAAAGACTGGGAAAGAACATGGAAAAAATCAGTGATGTTAGAAATAGGAAACTCTTGTGGTCTTTTTTCTTTAAATTTCCTTCAGTATTGCTAAAATATTTAAAAGTCATAACATAGTAAAAGAGGTGAACAAGTTTATGCTGACAAAATAATAGGTGGACCTGAAGAGAAACTGTTAAGATCTAACATTTAGCTGTGACGGGAGGAAGGACATCTATTTTTATAGGTTTCACAGAAATCCAGACTAGATGAATCATGGATTTCAGTCAATATGACAATCTATGTGACCCTTGAGCAACTATTTTGCCCTTAACATAACAATCCATCCTAACACAATAGTGCAATGGTTTTAATTTTTTTTTTTTTTCTGAGACAGAGTCTCACTCTTACCCAGGCTGGAGTGCAGTGGTGTGATTTCTGCTCACCGCAACCTCTGCCCCCCAGGTTCAAGCGATTCTCCTGCCTCAGCCTCCTGAGTAGCTGGGGTTACAGGCATGGGCCGCCATTCCCAGCTTATTTTTGTATTTTTAGTAGAGACAAGGTTTCACCATGTTGGTCAGGCTGGTCTCAAACTCCTGACCACAGGTGATCTGCCCTTCTCGGCTTCCCCAAGTGCTGGGATTATGGGCATGAGCCATTGTGCTCGGCCTGGTTTTAATTTTATGCAAGAAAAACTTGTGTTCATTTCTTTTAACTCAAATGATGCCTGTACTATTCAGTCTACTTTGTATGGCTGTTAAGCATCCATCCTTATACCTACAAAACACTCTTTAAACTACTTTTGTAGACCCTTCCTTCCTGTTCAAGTCTCCCACAAAGTCATCTCCCCAGTCACCACCTTCTCCATTTGTCAAACCATTTACCAACTGCACCCTCATTCTCTTCCACCCATTAACATACTGCGTTCTTTTACACTTATCTTGTTTTCACCCGCTTCTGTTATTTGCCGCTACACAAAATCTTATCATATTCTCTTGCATCATTTTTTATTTGTTGTGCTTAGGTTTCTTGCATATATGCATGAACATATATTTAAGTATATGGTGTCGTAAATGTGGCTAAGGTATGCATCTGAGAATAAATGACGTATACAAACGTGAAAAAGTGTGTTTGTAGATATGTCTGTAGGAATACTATAGAATACATTGTTGTTTGCCTACCCCAAATCCATTTCACCTTCCTCCTTTTTCTAATAGAATCCTGATTTTAGTTGGGCTTCCAATCTTCCAGGTAGGTAAATTTTTCTCCAGTTCAAGAGTAAATGTTGAATAGTTTAAGTCAATCATAGTAATCCCCTAGTCAATGATTTAAGAATAAAGGAATCTTTATTATGTACAAAAGCATCAATACTTGAAGTGAGGAATTGGAGTAAGCTAAATATCCAAATATAGGCAATTAGCTGAAATGAATCAAAGGCTTAGCAATAAGAGATACAGATCCTGTTTCTCTGTGACACCAAATAAAAGCTTAAGATTTCCAAACTTTCAAATATCAATCTTGGGCTATGATATTTGTAGGCAATGCTACTCTTAGCCAGAACAAACATCTGCTCGTATGTTTGGCTCTTACAAGTTGAGCCAACTCTTTAAAATATTTCAATAGGAAGGAATATTAAGCTCATTGTAAATAATCAGAAATGTTATATGTTCTCCTTCCAACTTTGTTGTTTTATTGGGAATATTTTTATATCATGCACTCATTGGAAAAAAGCATGTTTAACATTAGAGAGGCAATCTTTCTGAGTCAACATTTTATAATACGCTAAGAATATTACTGCATACAAATTTTGCTTTAACTTCTAGTAGGCACCTACAAGGACCACCTTTGTACTCTGTTCCCAAGGCAGAAGAAATATGACAGGATCATTCTAGGTAAACCTTATTCTGGAAAGAAGCAGTTTGCTGCAGCCACTCTTATGATCATCCACACACACACACACACACACACACACACACACAGACACACACAAAAATACGGGCGAGTGACTGGATACAGCTTTCTCCTAACTTTCTCAGATTAACCGTGGTCTCATTTGAGACTTAGAAAAGTTATTTGTATAATTATTGTTCATTCAGCTCCACGCTGACTGCCGTAGCCATGTCCTACAATCTAAATATTCTGCTCTGATATGAGATCTTGCATCGAAAAGTTAATTTTTGGTTCGGACAATAGGACCACCAAAGATGGCCATATAAAGTTCCCCTTATTATGCACAAAGTATCAATACTTGAATATCCAGAATAAGTTTAGATTTTTATTTATTTATATTGTTTGCCAACCTGCTTTTAAATTAAATTACTCTTGGCTAAACCATCTGAGATTTAACAAAAAACATTTTCAGTCGTAATTTTAATTGTAGCGTAGTCTGCCGATAATTATGCTAATGGGATGCTCAGGAAAGAGAATGGAATAGAGAAGAAAGAGGGTGTTTGGGAGGGTGTATGGGAGTGTGGGGCTGCGTGCTGGAAGTTACCAGAAGGTAAAGATGAAGTCACACCCTAGTAACTGGCAGGATAAACAAGTGAATAGATGACAACCAGCTAGTGAAACGTCTATTGCAAAGCAGGTGGTAAGAGGGATGTGGAGAGAGGATTCGTCATGGATCTTTTGCATTTCTGCAAGTCTCGTGAGCAAGACATGGACTATTTTTGTTCCAGATAATCTTTTCAAGGATGTCTGTATAGTGAACAGCCTTGGAAGTTAGGGATGGGGTCTTCCTTGGGGCAAAGGACACTCGTGCCTACTGCCCATTATAAAAATGAAGGTTCGCAGCTGGACGTGGTGGCTCACGCCTGTAATCCCAGCACTTCGGGAGGCCGAGGCGGGTAGATCACTTGAGGTCAGAAGTTCGAGACCAGCCTGGCCAACATGGTGAAACCCTGTCTCTACTAAAAATGCAAAAAATTTGCTGGGTTTGGTGGTGGGCACCTGTAATCCCAGCTACTTGGGAGGCTGAGTCGGAAGAATCGCTTAAACCCAGGAGGCAGAGGTTGCAGTGAGCCGAGATCACGCCACTGCACTCCAGCCTGGGCAACAAGAGTGAAACTCTGTCTCAAAAAAAAGGTTCCCTCAGCTCAGGGTTTCTCTCCTAGAATGCAACCACTGGCATGGATAGCTGCCGTCTGGCTCTCTACATGTCACCCTGTGGGAACTGGAGCTTGGGAATGGTGCAGAAATGCTGACACTCTGCTCTCACTACTGTCAGTAATCTATCCTTTGTCTCTGTTGTAGGAGTCTTGTGTCTTCTACTGGCATCCACTCAGAGGTGCTAGGCTAATGGTTAGCTTGTAAGTCGGGTAAAATTTCTCAGATCTTTGACGGGTCTTGATAAGGAGGGGGTCAGAAAACAACCTGGAGTAGGTCACTGGTAGCACAAGTACTTTGGAGAAACAGATCCCTTGCCTTTCTGATCCAGTCAAATCTGACCACTCCGGACAAGCTCATGAATGTATGTATTACCAGTGTTGGATGGCTAGTATTTTTTTTGTTTTTGTTTTTTTTGAGATGGAGTTTCACTTTTGTTGCCCCGGCTGGAGTGCAACAGCATGATCTCAGCTCACTGCAGCCTCCACCTCCGGGGTTCGAGCCATTCTCTGGTTGGCTAGTATTTTATACATGGTTATAGTTATAGAACCTGTGTGGGAAGGAATGGATAAGTTTGTATGAGTCTGTGTGGGATATGTGTGAGTAAAACTGTGAATGAGGTACAGGTGTGATGGCTCATGCTTGTAATCCCAGCACTTTGGGAGGCCAAGGTGGGAGGATCGCTTGAGTCAGGAGTTTGAGACCAGCCTGGGCATCATACCGAGATCCTGTCTCTACAAAAAATGAAAAATTAGCCGAATGTGGTGGCACGTGCCTGTAGTTCGAGCTACTCGGGAGGCTGAGATGGGAGGATTGCCTGAGCCCAGGAGGTCAAGGCTGCAGTGAACTGTGATCGTGCCACTGCACTCAGCCTGGGCAACGGAGTGAGAACCTTTCCTAGAAAAAACAACAACAACAACAACTGTGAATGATGATCGTGTGTGTGTGTGTGTGTGTGTGTGTGTGTGTGGAATTATGTACTTACTGGTAATTTGAGCTAATATTTAATAAGCATATATTATTAGCCCACAGAAACGGGTAGGGAACAGGGAGTACTAAGATACATGGAGAACACAGTGTATCAAGCATGGCATGTCATCAATTAGGGGTTTGGGGCCTTTGTATATGATATTCTGTTTTCCTTAAAGTGTTATCTGAGGACCAGGACTGGTCCACCAATTGTCGGCTACTAGTCCCAGGCAAGATAAGTATAGATGTTAAAGTAAGTGTTTAGAAACTTTTATAGCAATTTGACATTGCTGCAACATTCAAGTATGTGATTGTTTTTCTAGAAATTCATTTTTAAATTATATTTTACAAAAGTATTGCTCTATAGCAGATTGGAAATAAACAATGGCCTTTCATCACAGATAATTTCAAGACACTTGTCTAGAATCCTGTTGCCTGCTCTCGGTTTTTTTTCCTTTTCTCCCCCAAACACATACACACAACCTCAAAATGGATCCCACCTCTTCGGGCCTTCTGTGATCCATCAAGACTGGGTTAGGTCTTTCCTGCTCTTCCCGTCTTCTGTAATTGCCCCTGTTTAGCATTTATCACTCTGTATAGTGATTACTTGGTTACCTGTCTGTCTTCTCATCAGATGCGAAGCTCTTTGAGGGGAGACTGTGTGTCTTGCTCATTGTTCTGTCCCCCGCACCTAGCACAGGGTTGGTCTCTGGTAGGCACACTATAAATATTAGTCAAATGTACACATTTCTGGAGTAATTAATGCTGTAGAGTGGGGTCAGGGAAAGTTCTATAGGAGGTGACAGGTGAACTGAATCTGGTGAATGAGAAGAATTGTGCCAGACTAAATAGAAGGGCCAAACATTACAGCAAAGGGAACATGAACAAAACCAGAAAGCTGCTCAGTGAAACTGGGGAAATTCAGTACAGTTAGAGCCTGCCTGGAACTAAATTCTTGTTACTTGACAATTATAAGCCTAAGGATATGGAAGGTAGCTGTAAATGTTTTTTTAAAAATAATTTTCTCGGCCGGGCACAGTGGCTCACACCTGTAATCCCAGCACTTTGGGAGGCTGAGGCGGGTGGATCACCTGAGGTCAGGAGTTTGAGGCCAGCCCTGGTCAACGTAGTGAAACCCCATCTCTACTAAAAATACAAAAATTAGCCGGGTGTGGTGGCACATGCCTGTAATCCCAGCTACTAGGGAGCTTGAGGCAGGAGAATCACTTGAACCGGGGAGGTGGAGGTTGCAGTGAGCTGAGATCATGCCTTTGGACTCCAGCCTGGGTGACAGAGCAAGACTCTGTCTCAAAAAAATAAAAATAAAAAATAAATTTCTCTGAGTTTCAGCTAGGACATATTTTATTGAGTTATGACAATGGGAACTATGACTTACCCACAGGATACTTGGCTATAGAACGGGTGGTCGCGTATTTGAGGGAAGGATGCTCAATAAGGTAAACATAGCAGGGGAGTGGAGCCAAAGAAGTCTGAAAAAAATCGAAAACGTCTTTCTTATTATGTAAAAACCGTATGTTTTGTTCTCTTTGCTTCAACGGGGTCAATAATACCTTCAGTACGTTTTACTTCATCAACTAAGATTGGTAAAACAGCTTTGTGAAACACTTTAAAACCCAATGTTGTTATAGCTTTGAAAACATACAAATAAATTATACAATATAAAATTCATATAAAATTGAATTATCCAATGTCTTTCCAGGTAAAATGTACATTAAATAGTTCTCCAGAACCATGATCAAAACACATGAAATAAATGTTCTTTCTGAATGGATGTGGTGATAAACACATGAAATAAATGTTCTTTCTGAATGGATGTGGTGATAAACACAAGAAATAAATGTTCTTTCTGAATGGATGTGTGATTTTTGTTTCATCACGGGTTACACTAACTATTTAGCTTGGTATTTGTTTCTTAAAACAATCCTGTTTCTCTTCCTGTGGTCCAGCTCTCTACAAATGTTGGGTGATTCCTGTCCTCCTGCTCATCTGCATGAAAACGGAAGACAGGCCTCTTTGTTTGGATAACAAAGTGTCAGCGATACTGCTTCCAAGTCTGGCAACCAAAGCATTCAGCTCTCTCTTCAACAGGCAACGAAGAATAGCTGTATTATGATCTCCTACCAGGACCACTGCCCAGTTATTGTCCAAAACTTAAGGGAAACAAAACTAATAATCTTTACTGTAGGCTACGTATCAGGCTAAATGCTTTAAATACTTTGTCATTTACGGCTTTGAGTACCCTTATGGGTAAGTGTTGTCATGACACCAATTTTATAAAATGAAGGAGGCAAGGTTTTGGGAAAGGTGCGTTTTGTCTAAGTAAGGGAGGAGACTACCCTCATATCATCTTATGCCTAATTTCCGCCTCCAAAGAAAGAAGAAGTAAAAACTAAAAGGCAGAAATGAAATCCACAGGCAGGCAGCCCGGTGCCGCGCCCTGGGCCTGGTAGTTAAAGATCGACCCCTGACCTAATTGGTTCTGTTATCTGTAGATTACAGACATTGTATAGGAATGCACTGTGAAAATCCCTATCTTGTTTTGTTTCGATCTAATTACCGGTGCATGCAGCCCCCGGTCACGTACCCCCTGCTTGCTCAATCATGACCCTCTCACATGCACCCCCTTAGAGTTGTGAGCCCTTAAAAGGGACAGGAATTGCTCACTCGGGGAGCTCGGCTCTTGAGACAGGAGTCTTGCCGGTGCCCCCAGCGGAATAAACCCCTTCCTTCTGTAACTTGGTGTCTGAGGAGTTTTGTCTGCCAAGTTTTGTCTGCCGCTGGTCCTGCTACATAAGGTTAGTGAAGGAGAAAGTGAGGATCTGAGCACAGGCCACACTCTTTCCTCTCGATCATCCTTGCTCTCAGGAAAGAAGACTAGTACACAGAAATAAGCATACAGTTCCTTATGTGTGTTTCTGGTTGGTTGCTATTTTCTAGCACATTTTCTTTGAGATTTCTGAGCCTTAAAATGATTGACTATATGAAGCGCTGAAAGATTAGATGTGTTCTGGGGTGTCTAAATCAAATGGGGACGAGGGCAGGACTGAAGGGAGGCAATCTTTTTATCACTGGGCTTTAATCGACATTGAAGGGCTATTTCTTAAGTTTCCTAAAACCTTGTAATTGAGATGCCATACCATTTAAAGTTTTAATATTAATTTTACTTGGTTTTGACAAATTGACCATACCATTTACATTTTTAATATTCATTTTACTTGGTTTTAACTAATAGCCCACAATCTGATGGCTGTCTGGATAAAATGTATAATTTTATAGACCCAAGAATCCACAAGTGTTTTAGTACTTTGTTAATTGTGTTTGTTATTTTACTTATTTCCTCTCTTTTTCTCCTTCCTCTCACCACTGCCTCTGTGTTCTGGCAGCACCCTTTCCCCCAACCACAAGCCTGGCTGTGGAATAAATCCCATTTCTCTTGCACCTTCCCTCGTAACCGTTTTCTGATTGTTTCACATCCATAGTTGACTTAAAAGTACAAGTCCTTGGCTAACTTACAAATTAATAACATTAACCTTACCTTAATATAATGAAACATCTGAATTAAAAAGTTATTCCTGGAATCTTCAAGAATAAGAGTGCACCCCATGTTAGAAGTGGTGTTGTGAAGGTCAAAAATAATGTCATAGGAATCTTCACCATCTTTTGGACCAAATAAATGATATATTTCTTGAGCCCTTCTCACTTCATATGGCAAATCTTCTGACATTTTTTTGCTGTTATAAGCAGAAAGGAAAAGATTACCAACATCTGTGCCTGAGATAATATAAACATATAATAAGAACACAGTGTAAAAAGAACCCGTTGCCAAATCTTTAATATGAAAAATCTGTGTGGGAAGTAAAAACTTACCTGAAATGTTTATATATGAAAAATTACATTCTTTTTCTTCATTTGATTCCATATAACTAATGTTGCACTGGCATGCTTGCAAAGTAATATGTTCATTTATGTGGTTGGTCATGAATAGGACATATCAAACAGAATTTGTCATTTGATTTCAGTCTTGAACACGACCATTAATTTAATGAACAGTTTCTTAGTAGTTATGGTACACTGGGTTATTTATTATGGGACTAGAGCATAAAATGCATCTTTTTTCACCCTACTTTAGCTAATTCTAGTGCACAAATGCAGTCACTTAGGGGCTCACATAATCTAAGTAGAGATCCTTTTAACTTTTTGAGACAGAATCTTGCTCTGTTGCCCAGGCTGGAGTGCAGTGGCCCAATCATGGCTCACTGTACCCTCAAACTCCTGGGCTCAAGCAATCCTTCCATCTCAGCCTCCCGAGTAGCTGAAACTACAGGTGTGTGCCACCATGCCCCACTAATCTTATCTTTTGTGGAGATGGAGTCTTGCTATGTTGCCCAGGCTGGTCTTGAACTAAAACTGCCTTTGCAAAAATTAAAACTGAGACAGCAGTTATTACAATGAAAGAGATCTAATCTGACTCCTCCTTGCTTCTAATCTCCAAGCTATCCTTGTTCGTGCCTGGGTGTAAACTGAACTAACTTTGGGAGGAACTTATAGTTTAACTTTGAAACAAAGATGAGGACAGCCTTTTCCCAAAACAAACCCCCTTCCTTCCTGGGGACTAGACTGCCTTTGCAGGACTAACAGATTAGCCACAAGATTAGAAATTATGGTTTAGGAGTCATGCAGCTGGAGGCCACAAGATTCTGAACCTTCTGAAATTGCTCCTGGGGATAACACCCCTATTGTAAAACCTAAGATCAGGGCTTGAGATATTTTGTAAACCCTGAATTGACAGATCAGCTGGCACCACCCAGATGGATAAACTGGCTTATCTGGTCTCGTGGTCCCCACCCAGGAACTGATTCAGCGTAAGAGGAGAGCTCCAACTCCCTATGATTTTACTCCGATCTGACCAGCACTCCTGACTCACTGGCCCCTACCCACTAAATTATCCTTAAAAATTCCAATCTCTGAATTTTCAGGGAGACTGATTTGAGTAATAATAAAACTTTGGCCTTCTGTACAGCCGGCTCTGCGTGAATTAAACTCTTTATTGCAATTCCCTTGTCTTGATAGATCAACTCTGTCTGGTCAGCGGACAAGGAGAACTTGCTGGGTGGTTACAGAAGTCTTGGCCTCAGGCAATCCCCCTGCCATGGCCTCCCAAAGTGCTGGAATTACAAGCATGAGCAGCCACACCTGGCCTAATTAGAGATTCTTAATTGAGGTCCAGGAACCACTAGAAGTCCAGGGACAGAATTTTCAGAGTCCGTAACCTCTCCACAAAGGCCACAAGTTTGCAGGTACAGATATATGTATTTTTTCTGGCACAAGGGCCAATAGCTTTTCTTCCATTCTTAAATAGGCCTCTATCCTCTCCCCACTTCCCACAATGGTTAGGATACATTTTTTTTCCTAGATACAGTGTTTTAAATTGACTTTTCCTCATTAAACCATTCGACCATATTTTCCTAAAATTACATCTATTTGTATTCCTTGGTTATTTTTGCTCGTATCTTCAAGGCACCTACTATGTACAACAGGGTAATTCCTGCCCAGAATGCAATCAGGAAGGTGGAGTAGTTATTTTCTGACTTTGAAGCAAAAACCATGAGGACAAAGCTGGCATGTTGAGACAGTGCAGTGGGAAGGTAGAGGGAACCTTTGGCATTGATGATATCATGTGACTGCTGCGCGAACCCTGGACTGCCTAGCTCTGGATTTATTATTTGTGAATAAGAACGCTTATTTGTTTAAACCACTATTTTCAGGTTCCTATTATATGCAAACCAAGCCTAATGGATTTTTATACATTTTAAAAGTTAATTCATGAAATAACCCCCTGAGGTTGCCCCCAACGATTTTGGTTCTTTATCATTCTTTCCCATTTGAGTACATGGTGCTAGTATCTACCCAGTTGCTCGGAGTCAAGTCTTGGAAGCTTTGAAAAATGATGGACACGTCTCATGCCTGCAGTTGAGCTCCCATTGGAAGAGTCCCAAAGGATGAAGAACAGGGAAGTGTGAGATTCTGAAGGGCATTAGCCATACTAAGTTGATTAAATCTATTCTGGATAAACTGTTAAATAATCCTCAGCAGGGGAGAGACATGATCAGATTTGCATATTAGGATGATTCCTAGAGGTATCAGATGGAAAATAGATGGCAGGAAAGGTCAGAGCAAGTCTGGATGCAGAGAGACTCTTTAGGAGGCTTTTCTGACTATCCACAGAGGAAATCAACTAAGGTAGTAAAACTGGAGAGGAAGGTGAAGTACTTGCAAGGAATAATTGGGAGGACTTAGTGACCCGCTAGACGTGGGAGATGAAGCACTGGGAAGGTTCTAGGGTGATTTTCGTAGGGGACTTGGTGGAGAATGACGCTACCACTGAGATGAGGAATACAGGAAAATGAATAAATTTGGCAGAGGTAGATGGAAGAAGTTAATTAGTTTATTTTGTAATTTTTTAACCGCCCTGGGGATAGTCTAGTCTCTGAACAGTGTTAACAGTAAGGAGTAGAAAGTGAATTTAACTGAGAAGACTGTGCTCACTGAAATGCATACTACTGGGTGCTCATAAACTCACCCCAGTCCATTCCACAGCTATTTGGGAAGTTAATATGCCGACTAAAAGTTATTCTTCAACAAATTCTTACTTGTAATATAAAAGTTAGTTAACAGTTATCTTAGGTCAATAGAGAAGCATGAATTGTGTTGACATAACCTCAGTCATAAAGATAAAGCATTTCTCAAATTAAAAGTTATGCTAGCAAAAATATGATTTAATACAAACAGGATGACTGCTGTATAAGTGCCCTGAAAAACATCTATGCCATAAAGTGAGGCATGTTTCTATTAAGAGTAGTGTCCATCTTTTGATCTGTGGTGAGACTAAACCTAAGGAATGATCTAACTCAAATTAGAGTTGATCAGAAAACAAGCACATAGAACAGAGTGGCTAGTTGTACCTGTGCGTATCTTATATCTTAGCTAGTAGTCTACCGACTCCTTGAGGGGTAGAAACCATGTTGTACAGAGCTGTGCACTCCCCCAGTACCTGGCACAGTGTTCTGAGAAAAACAGATGTTTCATAATATTTTTTAGTAAAAGAAAGAAAGCGGCCGGGCGCGGTAGCTCACGCCTATAATCCCAGCACTTTGGGCGGCTGAGGCAGGCACATCACCTGAGGTCAGGAGTTTGAGACCAGCCTGGCCAACATGGCGAAACCCTGTCTCTACTAAAAATACAAAAAATCACCCGGACATGGTGGCAGGCGCCTGCAGTCCCAGCTACTCGGGAGGCTGAGGCAGGAGAATCACTTGAACCCGGAGGTGGAGGATGCAGTGAGCCAAGATTGCGCCATTGTACTCCAGCCTGGGCGACAAGAGGGAAACTCCATCTCAAAAAGAGAAAAAAAGAAAGAAGTGGTAAAAAGCAGATATGTGGAGGCATATTATATCTACAGTGGTAGCTATGATGATGTCAACAAAGGCAAAAACAATAAGGACCTAACCTAGCATGTTATGACTGCATACGTTGTGTGCAATGTATTATAAATCAGCAAAATGCAAACACTGAAAATTCGGGTGAAGTGTCTTGAGTTCTTATCTCTGGCATCCCATCTATGACAATCCATCGCAGAAGTTAAGTATGTCTGCTGCTTCGGATCACAGAGTAGTCTGATGTCTTCTGGCAAAAGATATTTAATCACTCTTTCTTTCAACAAATATTACTAGCAACATTACATGTTTTGAACTAGAACTTTATGTATTACCGTAAACATAGTTGCTTGAAAACGTAGTAGTGAATTTCCTAAAAAGCTAACAATTATGTATACAAGCATAGCGGCCAAACACTAACTCAGTGCAAAGGATTATTAAATCTGTTTCTTTCAGGGTATGATTTAAAAACAAAACCCTTTTCTATGTATTGTCTCGGTCTGTATACATTTGAAAAGAAAACTTAATAATCCGATGCTTAAGAAAGTTTATAAAAGAGCAAGTGAATGCCTAGTTCAGATAATTGTGTAATTCACAATGCAGTATAATTAAAAGTGAAAGTGATCTTATTCAACATAGCGACTGCACGTATGGACATGAATTATCATCTGCATATACATATATGTGTTCTCTTTCACACACCTACCACTTTTCACACAACAGACATACATATACAATACAAAACAGAGTCTTACCCAAGATTTTCAAGGTCAAAAATGCGATTCAGGTCACAGTCAATATATCTGGTACATTTCTTCACTGCTCTGGGGTTAGTGATAAATGGTTTTACCTCCAGCCCTGTTCTCTGAATCTCAGCGCCATTCTCTAGCCAATGCTTAACCAGAAATACTCCAGTTAGCTCATTCCCATGGGTTCCTCCAAAGATAGCAACCTTTTTTATAGGTTCTTCAGCAATGTGACAAGAAGTCATTTCACCAAGTAGTTTTTTATCTGATTTCTGCAATTCAGAAGAGAGATCAAAGGAAATGTGATTTTCTTAAGAATGGTTTAGAAATTTAAATCAAAATGAGACTTTACCCAAAGGGCAAAGTACAGAATTCCCCTGAGTGGAGTATATTTTAATTTTCTGTTACAAGTTCTGAGCCCCGTTTATGGACACTGCCTTCTTTAGCCCTGCCCTTTACCATATTTGGATTAAAATATGCAAAGATCAACTAGAGATACAGCTGTTTACTTTAACTTCTAACTCCCTCAGATGGTCAGTAGATCTAAATACAGTAATAAATTCGCATTTCATTCTAATGCAAAAATTCTGTTCTTTTCCTCAGCTAGGATGTTGTCCAGTGGGGCTTTCACAATTATCTGTCATAATAAAAAAGTTTATACATTTCTAATCTCAAAAAATAAAAAAAGTGGCCCACTCAGTATTTCCACAGGCACTTCAAAACCTTTCTTCTCTGAAATGAGTTCAAGCGTGTTTCATGATCTGAGGGCATTTGAATCTCACCTCTGTGAACAGCCAAAGGCTGACCCTCAGAGACCTCCTCTTAAACCAGCACCTGTTCTTTCAGAATGCTTTTTCACAGTCAGAAACAGAAGGGCCAAATCAGTGATCACTTGGGACTTGAAAAACTACCCTGAAACATCCCTTCATTTCTTTCTCATGAAATTTTTGGTAATTCTGTGCTAACTTACTTATGAATCTTCCTTACTTTTTTACCTAAATACCAAAGGAAAGACAACTGTTAGTAATTTTCAAGTCTTTGTGATGCCTGCAAATGTCTTGGGACACACTGCGTGTGCTAGCCGCATCATGTGAACTCATAGACACGGCCTAATTCACTGTCAGCAGGGACTCTCCACTGGACTGTGTTACTCGAAAGGGGGTCTTATTAGGGGAAATTATCCAGAATACTAAGATGATTACATCCCTTTGGAGAAATGACTCTGAGCCAAATCTGATTTGATTTCATGCTCAATCACCCAGAAAGTCAAATATGTTCAAGTACTGGAAATACCATGTACTAGTAATGCCAGGTTGTGTGATAGAGGGTACAATAAGAGTAATTGGTTACAATTGCGCAGCAGTTTAATTTATAATGTTCTTCCACTCCATTTATTCATACATTAATTTTATACGATAGGGTGGGTTAGGTGTTGACATCCCCACTGCAGGGGTAAATGAAAGAGAGGTTGGCGGGGCGCGGTGGCTCAAGCCTGTAATCCCAGCACTTTGGGAGGCCGAGAGATGGCGGTAACGACCGGGGTCAGGAGATCGAGACCATCCTGCTAACATGGTGAAACCCTGTCTGCTTATCTAAAACCAAAAATACGAAATAAATAACAAAAAACTAGCGGCCAAGGTAGCGGCGCCTGTAGTCCCAGCTACTTCGGGCTGACCGCAGGCAGGAGAATGGCGTAAACCGGGAGTGGGCTTGCAGTGATGCCGAGATGCCGCCACTGCCGACTCCAGCTCCCGCAGACCATGAGCGAGACCTCGTCTCAAAAAAAAGAAAAAAAAAAAAAAAAAAAAAAAGTAAAGCGGAGGTTAAGTAACTCAGTGAAGCGTTCTGCAGGTGTACATGTAGGAGGAACCAGGCCTGAGACCTTATGTTTCTCATTTCTAAGTCTAGTGTTTTTTTTACAGGACATTTAGTTCCTCTCTGTTTGTGTGTGTGTATACTTCATTTTTGTAGTATGAATATATTTTATCTCTTATGCTGCATCAAGAACAACAAACATGGGTGGACATAAAAATACGATCATGCTTCCTAATTATTTAATAAACCCCATTGAACTTTCCTTCCTTTAGAGAGCTTAAAATCGCGAGATAGGAAGAAGCAACAATAACCAAAATCAAATCGTAACATATTAAATGACTGTTCTTTTTTTTTTTATTTTTTTGAGCCGGAGTCTTGCTCTGTGGCCCAGGCTGGAGTGCGCCAGTGGCCGGGTCTCAGCTCATGCAAGCGATCCGGCCTCCCGGTTCAGCGCCATTCTCCTGCCTCGAGCTCCGGGTGGCTGGGACTGCAGCGCCCGCCCACCACGAGCCCAGCTAGTTTTTTTGTATTTTTGGTAGGACGGGGTTTTCACCGTGTTAGCCAGGATGGTCTCGATCTCCTGACCTCGTGATCCGCCCGTCTCGGGCTCCCAAAGTGCTGGGATTACAGGCGTGAGCCACCGCGCCCGGCCTAAAATGACTGTTCTAATAGAAAAAAAAAAAAAGCTCCTGTAGCCTTTGACTGTCTGTCCACATCCATGTACACTGAACACTTCAGACGGCGTAGAGATGATGAAAACACACGTGAAAGTACACAGATGATAGTTGTTTAGTGGCTTCGATTTTAAGAGCAGTAACTATGGTGAATTATTAACACTCTGCTATGCTTGGTTTCTTTTCTGCTGATTTGCAGTCTGTGCTGTCCTTTGCCCTACTCTCTCTGGAAATGCTGCTTCAGTTTACTCGTAGCTGGCACAAATGACTTGCATTTTGAAGCTTGTTTTATGGAATTCTAACAGATCAGCACTTCGAAGCACATTTCACATTCATAAATAAAGTTTCTCTTACATGTCAAAATGAATAACTTTTTTGAGAGTTAATGAATTGCAGCAATTATTTCCCATACTTACCTTGTTTATTGTGTACAGAGTTTGTCTTCGGTGGAAAGCTTTATTAGGAAAAAGGAGAGCATTTCCTCAGAACTAGAGCAACAGAGGCTTTTCATACTCTTATACCAAGTTAACTTCCGAAAGATTTTTAACTCCCTGTTTCCCAAAGTGTACTTGATTTTCGGGATGACCCACAAAAGCCACACTTTTTTATTAGTTCTCAGCGAACTGATAGTATACGAAGTGAAACCCTTTCAAGTTGTCACTATCTCATTATAAAGTTGAATATATAATATGCTGAAGTACTTAAAAGAGTAAGCATAACTTCCAGCATTACAAATTTTTGTGGGATAGAGTTGCCTGATGTATTAATAAAATAATGTAGTTTAAAACAAAAGGAGGCCGGACGTGGTCTCACACTTGTAATCCCAGCACTTTGGGAGGCCGAGGTGGGCGGATCACCTGAGGTCAGGAGTTCGAGACCATCCTGGCCAACATTGTGAAATCCCGTTTCTACTAAAAATACAAAATTACCTGGGCGTGGTGGCAGGTGCATGTAATCCTGGCTACTCAGGAGGCTGAGGCAGGAGAATCACTTGAACCTGGAAGGCGGAGGTTGCAGTAAGCCGAGATCGTGCCATTGCACTCCAACCTGGGGAACAAGAGCGAAACTCCGTCTCAAAAACAAAACAAAACAAAAGCAGAGCAAAGTTTTACTTCACAGTCATGGCTGTCCGGTAGGTCACTGCCAGAAATTTTGTAGGAGACAAATTTAAGGTGGGTTGTTTCCTAATAGTATGATTGGGGGATAAGAAGGGTTTTTTGTTAAATATTATACTTAAGATATCTCATACATAATATGATGTTCAATAGTTATGTAATCAAACTACTTTTACTACTTTAATTTTCTCCTTCCCCGTGGCCCATCCTGACCAACTTTCCAGGTGGAAATAAATGATAACCAGAGCAAGACAAGTATAAAATAGATTAAGTTTATAAACTGCTGGCAAAGATTCTATATTGCTCACTTCCGCAGTTCTTACAGAAGTAACTGGCTTACGGTTTTTTTTTTTTTTTTAATGAAAAATCTATTTTGGGGGTGGGTAGGGGAATGTTGTAAATGTATGCACATATGTATGTAGATATCAAGTCAAGATCTGCTTCCCTGAAGCTTCTATTCATGTTTTGGGTAACTCCTCTCTGGAACCATGATAAATAACAAGTTTTATTTTTATTGTTTCAAGTCTTCTTCTTCCCAAAAGATGACCCTATTCCTTGAAAGCTATTCCTTACTCTGGCATTCAAGGTCTGCTATTATCTGGTCTCGGTCTACTTCTAATATTATTTTCTAACACTCTCCTTTTTTTTTATTTTTTATTTTTTGAGACAGAGTCTCGCTCTGTTGCCCAGGCTGGAGTGCAGTGGCGTGATCTCGGCTCACTGTAAGCTCCGCCTCCCGGGTTCACGCCATTCTCCTGCCTCAGCCTCCTGAGTAGCTGGGACTACAGGTGCCCACCACCATGCCAGGCTAATTTTTTTTTTCTTTTTTTGTTAGTAGAGATGGGGTTTCACCGTGTTGGCCAGGATGGTCTCGATCTCCTGACCTCATGATCTGCCCGCCTCGGCCTCCCAAAGTGCTGGGATTATAGGCGTGAGCCACCGTGCCCGGCCTATTTTCTAACACTCTTCTTTACTTTAGTTTTCAAAGCAACTACTAAAATATCTGTGGTCTTACAGGCCTAGGCCTTTCCTAACAAATCTTCCTTTCATCTCCGAGCCCTTCCCTATCCCAGTCTTCAAATGGTTAGAAGATACGGTAACAACAAAACACGGTCTTTGAACTCAGAACTACAATCCACTACCTGGCCCATAGTATATTCCGGATAAATGACAGCTACTGTTAACTCGTATTAAATAAGGGCTAACATTTACTGGGCATTTACTGTGTGCCAGGATCGTCTATTTCCTCTTTTAGTATTTTCAGGGCGATTGTTGTTATTGTATTTTTACTGGTAGGTCCTGAGGGTGTTCAGTAAGGAACTTGCCCAAGATCACAGGGCCAGGAATCCACAGTCTTCTTTGCCAGGAAGCTTGGAGCTCAACGCCCAAGGTCGCCCACCACGCGGCTGCCCCTGCAGAGCGTCTTAGCGGCTCACGGGCGCTTCCCTCCCGCAAGTTCCCGCAGCCCCGGCCCTGCCTCGCTGACTGCTCTCCGCCTTCCATGGCTGCCATCTGAACCCGGGTTTCAGCTCTGTCCCCAGCCTCCTGGGGACTCAGATTCCCTGACCCTGATCCGAACCAGAAACGGAGACAGACCCCTCGGGTGGCCTTCGAGGCAATCTCTGGGCACACTCTGGGTGGCCACCAGCATCTAACAAACGGATGTCTGGACCCTCAGAAAGGCCCAGGGGGTGCGGGGGAAGCGGGGCACACTTTGTGGACGATGCTGGGGCTGGGGCCGGTTGGGCAGGAGATCGGCCCCTGTCTCTCCAGTCACAGGACAGTCCCCTTTCCTCTCTGGGCCAAACTGTAAGGAGTTGGAGCCATCCCTGCGCCCACAGCGTGAGAACGCCCAGGAAGCGCGTTAACGTCATCGCGCCCGGCCCAACGCAGCCAGGGAGGCCGCGACGACGCCATCGCACCCAGGAGGCGGCCACTGCGCCTGCGCGATCCGCGGCGCCTGCGCACAGCCTGACGCCCGCGGTTTCTTCGCAGGCGGGAAGAACGGACGTTGCTGACGGGGCTGCCTGGACGACGGTTGACGGAGGCGAGGGACACTGAGGGCGAGAGTTGTGCGTCGTGTTGGCAGGAGGGTCTAGAGGAGAAAGACTGTGTGTTGATTCCAAACCGCCCCCACTCCGTGGGCGGGTCAGGAGAGGCCCTTGGAAGAGCGTCTGAACTTGACTGGAGCCTCTTCTCTCGCGCCCCCGTCGGGAGCCGAAACAGGCCGTCATTTGAGGCCGTGGCTGGTGTGGGTGGTGTGGGTGGTGGTGGTGTGTGTATGCAGATGGAGCACACTTTTTGCACACGAATGCCACCAACCCCGTTGCTGACGCCACTGAGGTCCATTCGGAAGCTGGGGTTGCGGGTGGAGGAAGGTCCCCGCCCTCGGGATAAATGGTCCCGCGGCGAGAATGTGACACTTAGAAACTTTGTTGTTGTTGTTTATTCTGTTTGCTTGAGCCTAAGAAACATAATAGCCCTCATAAGCCCCTCTAAATATAGGATGTGAGTTGCGCTGGAAGAGAAAGGCAGAATCTCTGTTGTGGCTCCTAGGATGGCACCAAGAGTATTTTCCTTTCCTTCCCCTTCCATTCCTTCCCTGCCTCCCTCCATTTTTTTCCTAGACGGAGTCTCGCTTTGTCGCCCAGGCTGGAGTGCAGTGGCCAGATCTCAGCTCACTGCAAGCTCCGCCTCCCGGGTTCACGCCATTCTCCTGCCTCAGCCTCCTGAGTAGCTGGGACTACAGGCGCCGCCATCTCACCCGGCTAATTTTGTGTATTTTTAGTGGAGAAGGGGTTTCACCGTGTTCGCCAGGATGGTCTCGATCTCCTGACCTCGTGATCCGCCCGTCTCGGCCTCCCAAAGTGCTGGGATTACAGGCGTGAGCCACCGCGCCTGGCCTGTTTCCCAAGTTTTATTTTTACCAACGATATTTGAAAATTAGCACCTTGGCCTGACTTGCATTATTGCTTCGTTGTGTATGTGTCCGTCTCTCTGTCTCATTAGGTCGTGAATTTAGAACAGGAGTTACCTCTTCATGCAGTGGGCAAGTGTTTGTTGAATTAGATTGGGGTTGAAATGTGTTAGGGGGCTAAACATGCAAAATTACAGGAGAAATTCTATTGTAAAAGAAGAAAACTAAGGAAAAACTTGTTTCACTTGTTGAAGTTGTGGAAATGGAGTGGACACTTGTCATTACACTTATTCTGGATATGAAGGGAGGATTTGGTCTTTGTTTTTTTGTTTTTTCAAAATGGAGTCTGGCCCTCGTTGCCCAGGCTGGAGTGCAGTGGTACAGTCTTGGCTCTCTGCAACTTCAGCCTCTTGGGCTCAAGCGATTCTCCTGTCTCAGCCTCCTGAGTAGCTGGGATTACAGGCACCCGCCACCACTCCCGGCTGATTTTGTATTTTTAGTAGAGATGGGCTTTCTCCATGTTGGCCAGGCTGGTCTTGACCTCCTGACCTCAGGAAGACTTAGTCTTTGGTGTTATATAATCCAGGAGTTTCAAACTGATGCAAAGGCAGATGACCTGCCCAATGCCTTAAAGTAGGGCATGGAGGAAGTTCCCAGTGGCTAAATACTGTGTTTCCTCCCTGGCGTTGGAAGCATGTATGTTTGCCAACGCTGTGGTCCATTGTCTTCTTTATAGATCTGGTTCAGAATTCTCTTTGTGGGCGCTGGATTCTGAAATAAATTACATATACTGTGTGAAAAAATGCCATATGTTTAGGAAGCAAGGTTACAGTTGCCCTAGTCATAACTTAATGGGAACAGTTGGAAAAGCGGATTATGTTGTAAACTCTTAGAAAGCAAAGGACTCCCTAAAGTGTTTACATGATCAGGTTTGAAAGTAGTTTAAAACCATAATTTCAGTAATCACTGGGCTGAGGATTTGGTTTTGTAGTTGAGACAATATGAGTTATAAGTTTCTTTCTTTGTAGGTCTGGTGGGACAGTGTCATAAATTTGGAATGCTGAAGAGAAAATTATAGATTTTGATATTGAAGGAAATGAAGCGAAGCCTAAATGAAAATTCAGCTCGAAGTACAGCAGGTATTGAACAACTTTTTATTTTTAAATTTTCTATATTTTCTATATAGCATATAAAGCTTGTATAGTTTATAGATATAACATTGGAAATAAATTTAAAATAGATTGAACAGTTAATCTAGCCTCTTTTTAGGTCCAAGGAAGTAAAATAACTTACTCAAGACAAAACGTTTAGTGGTAGAGGTAGGAGTAAGATCAAACTTTCTTAGATTTATTTTGATGTTCTTTCTACAAATTTGATGTGCTTGAGTTATTCTATGCTTTACAACTGAAAACAAAGAAATAGATCTATTTTTGTTTGTATTTGTGACTGACTTGTTAAAAAATATTTCCAGAAGCACTTCTGTCTTTCTAATAGCTTCTCCTATCATTTTTGCTTTCCCGATTCATTAGTATAAAGACAGAGGGCAAGGATGATGAGAACAAGGGGAATGATGATGCATAATGAAGATAATAGTAACTATTATTTATGGTGGATTAACTGTATTCAAGACATTGATTATATATATTAATTTATTTAATCTTTACACCAGTACTCTGAGATAGGTTATTATAATCATTTCTGTTCTTCAGATGAGAAAACCAAGGCTAAAAGAGGTTAAATAAGTAATCCATGAAGTAGCAGAATCAGAATTTGAACCTAGGAATCTGGCCCTTAGTCCCTGCTCTTAATCATTATGCTATCAGTGTATGTCATATTGGCACAAAGAGTTTAGGGAAATTGCTCAAGATCATACTCTGAAGTTGTAATGCAAACCTACTTCGAAGTCATAATTCAGACCCAGGTGGTCTGATTCCAGAGTCCACATAATTCTCCCAGCCTTTAATCAGAGAGTTTTCACAGAGTCTGTGTTTGCCTGTAGAACAATTAATGATGACCAATTTAGAGAATGGTACAGTGGCAGGAGATCTGAACTGATATTTAGGAATCTTGGGTCCTATCGGGATTCTTCCACTGACTTGCCCTATAGCAATGCACAAGCTATCTGAACTTCTTTTCCCTTCGAGTTCCCTAAGTTTTAAAGTTTATATTTTGTGACTTTTGGCCTGAATTGAGATCCTAGATCCACCATCTGGAGGAATTAGTAGTAGTATTTATTCTCATTTGGACTGGATATTATTACTCTCTAAGGCATTCTCAAAATGATTGACAAAATATATAATTACAGACACCTGGGGTGCTTGTTAAAATTGCAGAGTTTTGAGTTCCAGGCTAGATCTATTGAAATAAAGTCTATGAGAGTGGAGTCTAGGAACGTGCACATTAAGCAGAATTCCAGATAAATCTTAGTCCAATGAAACTTTGAGAACCAAGGCCCAAAAGGGCGTGCTACTATTGTCCAAAGCATGGTTCAGAGTTTGGTTCTTCCTCACCTCTGTTGTACTCTAAAGGTCCCCTGCAGTTGTTACGGTAACAGGCAAGCACAGGAGGGGGATAAGGAAAAAAAAAGTGGATTTGGAAAGATTAGGGGATGAGGGAGGAGATGGGAATTACTTCCATATGAGAGGAATTAAAACTGTTAGGGTAGAATAAGAAAAAGTTTTTGAAGAAACAAATTAGGCTATTCAGGATCTTAAAAAGAATGGAAAAGTCAATCCAAGGTTATAGAAATCTATAAGTATATTAGCATATAGAAGTCGATACATTTAAAGTGTGTATTATATACTAGTAATTATTTTACAACTAGATCTGCTTATTTGTCTATTATGTACTAATTTATTGGTACATTCAATTTAGGCTGTTTGCCTGTTCCATTGTTCAATCAGAAAAAGAGGAACAGACAGCCATTAACTTCTAATCCACTTAAAGATGATCCAGGTATCAGTACCCCTTCTGACAATTATGATTTTCCTCCTCTACCTACAGGTAAGAAAATTAATAAGGTAAAATTTTTCAGGAAATATAAACTAGGATTATAGAAAATTGTAATTTATCTCTGAACCAGTTAGCTGAGGTTTGGTGGGTGCTGGGAGGTCTTAATGGTTGTTGTTGACTTTTTACTTTCCTCTGCAAGAGGAATGGGCAGGCAGACATTCTGAAATATATGTGGTACATGCTGGTTATATACATTTACATTTTGGGGGCACATTTTAAAAATCATTAATAGGATCTTATATAGCTAGAATTTAAAAATATCTCTTACATGGCAATACTTGTATTGTTAATTTAATCCAGTGTGCTCCCGTAGACTTTAATATACTTCTAAATCTGTAATTATTTTGTTTAAAGAAAACAAAATATATAAAAAATATATTTGAAGAATTTTAGGTATGAAGTTCATATGTTTCCAATTTTTGTGTATAAAAATGATAAATTCACATGGATATGCACAACTGGGCATTTATCTGGTCATACTCCACCATTTAAAAAATATTTCATAATTTATAATATTTTTATAAGTAGCATGAATGTTGACCTTGAAAACCTGAGCTATTCCATAAGCAAATGTGTGTCCTCCTGAAGTACTTCAAGCTCTGACCAGGGTTACCATTTGTCAGAAATAGTAATTTTCCTATATTGTGTAAGAGATAGGGCCTCATCAGTGTTTTTTAAAAAACTTTTGTCTTGATTCATTAGTCGGTCTGGGATATAATCGATCTTTGAAAAAAGAAAGAAGACAATAGAGTAGAGTAGAATAGAAAATAACAGCCATGCACTGCATAACAATGTTTTGGTCAGTCACACCACTTGTGTGATGGTGGTGCCACTACAAATATAATGGAGCTGAAACATTTCTATTTCCTAGTGACATAACGTAGTAGCTGTCATAATGTCATAGCACAGTTTATTTTTTTATAAATATAATTTATAAAATTGGCTGTGGTAGGCTACAATATAGTATATATATAGTAGCCTAAATATATGGTTTGTTTAGTCTACAGTAGTGTACAGTAATGTCCTTCATATTCACTCACCACTTAATCACTAACTCACCCAGAGCAACTTTCAGTCCTGCAAACTCCATTTATGGTAAGTGCCCTCTTAGGTGTATTGGTTTTTATCTTTTATATTTTTACTGTACCTTTTCTATGTTTAGATATGTTTAGATACATAAATACTATTATGTTACAATTGCCTATGGCATTGAGTACAGTAACATGTTGCACAAGTTTGTAGCCTAGGAGCAATAGGCTGTAACATGTAGCCTACGTGTATAGCAAGCTGTACTCTCCAGCTTTGTGTAAGTACACTCTATGATGTTTGCACAACAAAATCACCTCACAAGGCATTTCTTAGAATGTATCCCTGTCATTAAGTGACACATGACTGTGTCAGAGTGTATCACACATATTAAGGATAAGATTTGATGGTGAAGTTTTATATTCTTTTTCCTCCTTTCTCTATCTCTCTGTTTGTCTGTATCTCACACATATGCCATGCATATACATGTTCTGAGTTACAATGTATTTCTTTCTGTGGGTGGGATTTAAAAAGTTCAATAAACATTGGATTAGATGAAATTCATGTTACAAAGTTAAAGATACTATACTAGAACTGATTGTAGAAAAGATACAGGTTAAATTATCTTTGCTTAAAATACAATGAATAAGACAGACATCTATAAAAATTAATAAAGCAGGCTGTGACAGGTTTTCCAACAAAGTATTGTCAAAGAAGTCCATATATTCAAGTTGTTTTCTTCTTCAAGTTTTTAAACCCCCAAAATTAAATAAGTGTGAAGTTATCATTTTGAAAAATACTACCTATCTTACTTTTATCTATGTTACTTATATCTTTTGAGATTGGGCCTGGGAAGCTATGAATGCAGAGTTGGCTCCTGTAATGAAAACAGTGGACACTGGGTATGTGGAGAAATACAAACCATTGGATGTGTGTCTGTTACTAACTGATGTTATTCTTCTATGTATATCTTAATTCCTCAATTTGAAAGCAAACTATTAATATTTAACAAGACATATTCCCTTGAAAGGCAAATACCACATTCAGTTTCTCGTCCTCTGAGAAGTCAAGATTCTATCTTTAACTCTATTCAATCAAATACTGAAAGAAGCCAGGGTGGTTGGAGGTGAGTCTACTTAAAATTTTATTCTTCTTCTATTCCTTCTCATTTTCCTGTTGTCGTCTTCATCCTTCCCTCCTCCTTCACTTCTTCTTTGTTTCTCAGACAGAATTACATTTAGGAAATTTCTATAAATAATAACTATGGCAGTATTAGTTATGTTTTATGAAAGAACTTAGAACATGCATGTAAAACTTAAAAAATATGAAAATTTCACAGTGATTATGCTTCAAAAGATTCTCAATGTGATAATGAAATTTCTGATAATATTCATTGCTATGAATTTATGATTTTGCTTATGGGTTATTAATGATTTCATTGACAATAGATAGACAGGAATCATATCTTAGTATTGGTTATATGTAGGAATTGAGAACCAGTTAGAGTGCTCAGTCTTATCCTGTAAGGCAGTCAGCCTCAAGGTAAACAGAATGGAAGGAGAAGGAAAAATGGAGGCTGAGATGCATATGCATCTGCAATAGTAGGGGCTCAAGAAATGAAGAAGATAGTCAGAAAGATGCTGAGGGTTCTTGCCGTAAGGACCAAAGTTTAATGTTAAAATAGTATGAAAAAATTGATAGAAAAAGAACATGGATTTTTCTTGGTTGTATTTTAGTAGCCTTGGATAAATGGCAATATTGAAGGAAATAATTTTGGAAATAAAGTGCTGGGAAAACAACACCAAATCAGTCACTGTTAAGGGCTTTGATATGTTATTTCAATAATCCTTACAACAACCTTATGAAGTTAATACTATTCTCATTTTTGTTATATAAAGATACCGTGTTTTTTTAAAAGGGGAAGCTTTTTATATAGTTGTTAGTAAATACATTGAAATAATGTCTTTATTTAAAAATTAGTTTTGATTTTATTATTCATGCTAGTTTCCCCAGGACCAGTCCATAAGTTTCTTCATAACAAGGCCTTAAAACTAGGCCTGTTCATGATTTGGGATGGTTCTTAGAGACATTGTTCCAACTGCAGGTGCTAGAAGAAAATACATTCTGACAAGCACTAGACAGAGAATTAGGTAACAGATTGTAATCTGGACAGGCAGCCAGTATTGGATATTACGATTTGAATTAATACGTGATCTGTCAGACTATTGGGATACAACAGGAAATCCAGGAGTAGAGAACATTTAAAAATCGATGCAGGCAGTTGGTAATCTGCTGAAGGTTTTTTGAACCGGTTAAAGGTCTAATCCTCAGGTTTAGAGTCCAGGTAGAGTTGCCAGATTTAGCAAATAAAAATAAAGGATGCCCAGTTAAATCTGAATTTCAGGTAATCAGGAATTTTTTAGTATGTGTCACAGCCAATATTTAGGACATACTTATACCAAAAATTTGTTACTTATTTGAAATTCAGGTTTAACTGGCCACCCTATGTTGTTTCTGGCAGCCTAGTCTAGACTTTCTTGGGACATGGAGTTTTCAAGAGCAAAGTACACTCCTATTCTTATAGATACTGTGTTATTAGACACATTATCAATATATATTTCATTCACCGGAATTAGGATATGGACAATTAGTAAGATTAGTAAGGATAAGTTTCTTTGCTAAAGCTCCTACAATTGGCTTTAGACTCTGAGGAGACATTGAGCTTGTACTTACTTAGTAGTTAAGACATCTCAGTTGAGGGATTGAGGTGATATGAGGACTTTTAACATTTTTAATCTTTTTTTTTGAGACTGGACCTTGCCATGTTGCTCAGGCTGGAGTGCAATGGCATGATCATAGCTCATTGCAACCTTGAACTCCTGGGCTTAAACAATCTTCCCACCTCAGCCTCCTGAGTGGGACTGACTATAGGTTTGCACCATCATGCCTGGCTAATTTTTAAATTTTTAGTAGAAACGAGGTCTTGCTATGTTGCCTAGGCTGGTCTTGAACTCCTGGGCTCAAGCGATTCCCTCACCTCAGCCTCCCAAAGTGCTGGGATTACAGGCATACACTATTGTACTCGGTGAGATGAAGGCTTTAGAAACTGAGAACTGAACACAACCTGGCAAACAGGTTCAGGTAAATGCATAAATTTTAACAGAAGATAAGGATTTTTTTTTCTAAAATAACTTACTATTCTCATTATGAAAATAATAGAATAATTCTAGAAAAAAGGAAAAAGAAAATTATTCATAGTTGCACTGATCCAGAATTAACCATTAATTTATTTTTGAACAGAAAAAACCAAACCATTTCACCTTTTTTGAGTCTTATGTCTTTATCCATGGGAAAAAAGTTGAACTAGATGATATCTGAGGTTCCTTCAGTACTCAATATATATTGTACATAAAACATACAGTTCTGATGTATTTATGTAACTTTATGCTGTCTTGTGTGTCACTACCACGAAAACCCTTGATTAAGGATTTTACAAATATATGAATTTATCTAACATGCTTGTGTGTGGAATACTTAGAATGCCTATTGCTCTGATACACCCAGAATTGTTTTCCTATTACACATCATGTCTTTCAACCATTCTTGTTACACAGATCTACTGTAAAAGTTTAATGATCTAAAATAGTATATAACTTAAGTCAGTAATTCATAAAAGGAGGTGGCAGGCCCCCAATATCCATGTAACTAAAGTTTTAAACTTTTAGGTCTCCTTCAACTTGCTCAGGATGGCCAAAGGTATGAGGAATATTTTCTTTTGGACTCTGTTTGCGTCTGGAACACTCTCTTGACAATCTCATCCTTGCTACAGTTCCGACTGCAGTTGAATATTGTATTTCTATTGTTATCTTAAATTTTAATTAGAGCTGGATGCGGTGGCTCACACCTGTAATCCCAGCAATTTGGGAGTCAGAGGCGGACGGATCACTTGAGGTCGGGAGTTTGAGACCAGCCTGGCCAACGGGTGAAACCCCGTCTCTACCAAAAAGATGCAAAAATTAGCCAGGTGTGGTGGCACATGCCTGTAATCCCAGCTACTTGGGAGGCTGAGGCAGGAGAATCACTGGAACCTGGGAGGCAGAGTTTGCAGTGAGCTGAGATCCTGCCACTGCCCTCCAGCCTGGGTGACAAAGTGAGAACCTGTTTCAAAAAAAGTGTTTTGTTTTTTTTTTTTAATTTATATATATTTAGGGTGTACAACCTGATATTTTAATGTGCATATACAGAGTGACCTGATTTCAGTCAGGCTAATTAATATATCCATCTCTTCACATAATTACCATCTTTTTCTTGTATGAGAACACTTAAGATCTACCTTCTAAACGATTTTCATCTGTATAACACAGTATTATTAACTATAGTCCTCGTGCTCTACATTAGATCTCTAGAATTTACTCATTCTACGTAACTGAAACTTCGTACCCTTTGACTGATATCACCTTATTTCTCCCGCCTCTTCACCCCTGGTAACCACTATTCTACTCTGTGCTTCTATGAGTTTGATTTGTAAAGATCCCACATATAAGTAAGCACATATAGTATTTTTCTTTCTGTGTCTGACTTATTTCACTTAGCATAACATCCTCTAGGTTCATCCATGTTGTCACAAATGGCAGAATTTACTTCTTTTTAATGTCTGAATAGTATTCCGTTATCTCTTTATGATACATTTTTTTAGTCCATTTATCTGTCACTTACATTGTTTACATATCTTGGAATTTTTTTTTTTTTGGGCGAAGTTTTGCTCTTGTTGCCCAGGCAATGGCAACAAGACAATGTGAGTGCAATGGTGTGGTCTCGGCTCACTGAAACCTCCGCCTCCTGGGATCAAGTGATTCTTCTGCCTCAGCCTCTCGAGTAGCTGGGATTATATGCATGTGCCACTATGCCTGGCTAATTTTGTATTTTAGTAGAGATGGGGTTTCACCATGTTGGCCAGGCTGGTCTCGAACTCCTGACCTCATGTGATCCACCTGCTTCAGCCTCCCAAAGTGCTAGGATTACAGGTGTGAGCCACCGTGCCTGGCCCTCTTGGCTATTGTGAATAATACTGCAATGAATCTGGAAATGGAGATATCTCTTTGAGATACTAATTTCATTTCCTTTGGATGTATCTCCAGAAGTGGGATTGTTAGATTATATAGTAGTTCTGTTTTTTATTTTTTTGAGGAACTTCCATACTGTTTTTCATAATGGCTCTACCAAGTTTCATTTCCACCAAGAGTGTACAAGGATTGCCTTTTTTCTGCACCCTCGCCAACACTTGTTATCTTTTGAATTTTTGATGACAGCTGTCCTAACAAGTGTGAATTGATAATATATCATTGTAGTTTTGATTTGCATTTTCCTGATGATTAGTGATGTTGAGCACCTTTTTATATACCTATTGGCCATCTGTGTGTCTTCTTTAGAAAAATGTCTATTTACGTTCTTTGCCCATCTTTAAATTGTGTTGTTTTTTGTTACTGAGTTCTGTGAATTCCTTAAATATTTTGGATGTTAACTACTTATCAGTTATATAGTTTGCCAACATTTCCTCCTGTGCTATAGGTTGCTTTTTCACTCTGTTGATTATTTCCTTTACTGTGCAGAAGCTTTTTAGTTTGATGTAGTTCTCAGATATTTATTTTTGCTTTTGTTGACTGTGCTTTTGGTGTCATATTAAAAGAAGTCATTTACAAGACCAATGTCAAGGAGTTTGTTCCCTACATTTTTTTCTAAGAGTTTTATGGTTTCGGTTCCTACTTGGTTTAAGTCTTTAATCCATGGTTGAGTTGATTTTTGTATATGGTGTAAGGTAAGGGTTCAGTTCCATTCTTCTGCATCTGGATATCCAGTTTTTCCAATACTATTTATGGCAGAGACTTTTATCCCATTGTGTGTTTGTCTCACTTTTGTTGAAAATCAATTAAATGTAAATGTATGGGTTTATTTCTGGACTCTCTACTCTGTTCTGTTGGTCTGTGTGCCTGTTTTAATACCAGTACCACACTGTTTTGATCACTATAGCTTTTCGGTATAACTTGAAATCAGAAAGTGTGATGGATGCAGCTTTGTTCTTTCTCAAGATTGTTTTGGCTATTCAGAGTCTTTTGTGGGTCCATATGA